CTAAAAACAAATAAATTCACAAATTCATGAAAATGCGCAATGAAATTAGCGATGCCTAATGCCACCTAATACCACCCACCCGTCTACGACAAAATCATCAATTCATAATGCACAACGGACCTAAAGAAACCCATCTACCTACCTAATCAGCCAACCGAACAAAAAATTCTCCTTTTCCTCCTCGGCAATCCCATTGACTAAATACTAATTTCATTTTCTCCTCTCAATTAATCACTCGCTCTAAATTAATTCTACTTAAATAAATATTATACCTATTAAATAGCAATTGTCCATTATTCATTGTCCTATGTCCCTTCTTCATCCGTAGACAAATATATTGTGATCCATCCTCCTGTTCCCACTATTCATCCTGCTGCGGCTGGTCTTCTTATCTTCAGTCAATTCCTAAAAAAAAACAAAAAAATATTTATTTAATACAAATTTACCAATAAAAAAAATAACCCATTTATCCAAATCATCATAATTTTTTGCAAAACGCTCCTTTACGGCTTATAATCTCTCTTATGTTATCTACCGATTCATATTACTTATTGCTAGTTTAACCGTATCCCGATAGTTAATCTAGTAATGAATCGTTATAGATATACAGAAGAGTTGAAAGATTATCAAAGGAACGTTTTAGGAGTTCATATTGCGCGCAACTGGACTTTCACTACGCAGACAGACCTGCTTAAGACGTATGGCCACTCCGAATTAATCAGGTATTTCTGTCCAGCGCTAGTATAAAGCCAACCCCCAATGGTCTGTCGAATCACTATCGTATTAGTATGAAACTCGACTAAGCACTCGTCTGCGGACGGTAAGGATGAAGCGTGCTTGTTGTTAACCAGGACTACACCCACTACACCCACTTGATGAATCATGTCAAAACATGGTCTTGTACGTATTCAATTATTCAGCACAATTTACCAAACACGTATTTTTCTTCAATCAATTTCATTGTTGAAATCGCTGTATACTGGATTGAATATATATTTTTTCTTTTCTAAAGTATTATTGATTACAGTTATTCGCAAATATTATTCATGGTAAGCGTTTCATTAAGTATAATTCCTATTTTGAGGTTATGTTATTGTTTTGTTTTTATACCATACCATATACCATCATCATTTTTAGATTATACCTCTCGTAAAATGCCATCAAAATTTGTCTGTCTGCTGGCAGTAATACCTTTTTTTGGAAACAACAACAACAACAAAAAGATTAGAAATGGCGAAAATCCATCATGTTAAAAATGCAGCTTGTTGAGAGACATCATTGAGGTAAAGTACCTATTTAGTTGGTTTTATCATTTTGATTCATAGTCTAGTTTAAGTTTTTTTCGCTTATGAAAAAACTGAGCATACCTACTTGTAGGTATAACTGTAAACAAAAAAATCTTAGTTCCATATCTTGTGCAAATTAATAATAACAATTAATTTTTTTAAATAAAAATATTGCACAATTGTCTCAAATCATAGCTCAGAGATGCTAGTTTTACGTTTTGCCAAGTTGCACAAAAAAAACTTAGGTAAGTACTATCCAATAATCATTTATTATTAAAAGTAAGGCAATTTATTTCTAATTCTAACAATATTTTAAGATTTACAGTGTTTTTTCTTTTACCCATCCAGAACCCCTATTAACTTCCATTCCTGTAAAAATTATATTAATTGAAGAAAACTGCATATTTTTATTTAAAAAAATATTTGTGTCATTAATGTATACCAAGATGATATAGAACTTAGGTTTTTTGTTTTCAATAGCAAATACCTACAAGTTAAGTTTAGTTAGTTTTCCATAATTGAAAAGAGCTCAATCTAGACATTTACCTATCTGTATACAGATAGGAAAGTAAAAAATAGTATACAGATAGGAAAGTAAAAAATATTACTTATTTTTCAGATTTTACTCGAGATTTTACTAGAAAAAAACGTGCAAATATAAATTAAGCGTCTAATCTTTATTTTGAAGGATTCATGGATTAACAGTATGGATTTTATGTTAAGTATCAAATCATGAGAATACCAGGTTGGATATTTTCTAGATTTAGTTGACTTTAATGGAACACACAGAACAATAACAGTTTGGATAATCTCATTCAATTTATGTATGTATAGCATTGAATAAAGTATCGAAGGAGTATTAAGTTGTGAAGGTATTTTGTCAATAAAGCCCTGAAAGAAAGATGTCATTTTAGAAAACTTGTGTCAATATTAAGTTTCCAGTATTTCATTGCCAATAAATTATTTGTGTGCAATACAAATAAATTAATAAAAACACTAAACATTAAATTTTAAAATATAATAAACAAAATAGAGTAATCTCTTTGAAAGATAAGATCATCAAAATGAAAATATAAGTAAAATAAGTGAATTTTATTTACTCTCAGCATGACAACATATTGTATATATCATAGGTTTATAGTGAAATTTATTATTTCATGAAGATCCTAGTCATTTCACAAAGCATCGGTAGGTATATTGTGTAAAAATATAAGGCTACACAATCAGCCCCTTGGCTGAAGAACTGTGGAATTGAGTGTAACACAACCTGCCTAAATTAAAATATTGTGGTTTCATGAAATAAGCACAAAGGCAAGGCATGTGTTTAAATTACTCTTATGAGCTTGTTACTGAGACGTTCCATTATATAGGGGGGTCAGTATTAAAATAAGAAATAAAAAAAACTATTTTAGAGCTTTCTAGAATATATAAATTTAAAATCGATACCTTAAACAATTTAGTAATAGTTAATAGACACACAATTTTTTTCCAAAACCTGTTTTTCAGCTTTTTAGAGCCAGTCTGATTCATACAATATTTTCCCTCACCTGTGAAAGTAACAAAATAAATAGAAACTGTTGCATAACGATTCGCGATTTGAATTTTGGAGTGCAAAGTTGTTTTGTATTGTGCTGGCCAAAGTTTTTTTTCGTTTAGTTAAGGATCCAGGTAAAGGCTAATACTAACATTTCCTTTGTCAAATTAACCCTTCTTTTCCTATAATTTAAAAAGAAATTGTTTTTTCTTGGTTTTCTTTAATATAATATAATTAAATTTAAAAAAAAATAGTAAAGCAAAAGGTAGTTAGATGGGAGATAACTCAGGGGGGTCGGGCCCCCCTAGTGAAATGAGTTTGATTAATAGTGATAGCAATCTTGATATTTCAGATGTGGATATGGATGGCTCAAAGCCGGCAATTGTTGATAATGTAAATAATCATGTAGAAAATGAGGTTGTAAAAAATGTCACAAAAAATTCTGACAAAAAACGTCTAAATAGAGATAATTATACATACCTAGATAAAGGCCCATATGAAGTATACATTGAAGCCACTCTTGATAATAAAAATATAGGTAATTATAATTATTTAGCTATTGCTCGTGAACTTTATGACCTCCAGGTAAATAATATTAAAAAGATAAATAAAAAAGGGAAAAATAGAATTGGGGTAGTATTTTCGGGTTTTAAAGAGGCAAATAATTTTTTAAGTAATGAGGAATTAAAAGCAAAAGGGTATGCTCTGTTCATCCCTTCAAAAAATGTGTCATGTAAGGGTATAGTTAAATTTATTGATAAATCATTCTCTGATGAT